TATTGAGTTAATTGAGTTATTGCATATCGCATTTTTTTTCAATATCGCACAGCCCTACTTCAAATCAAGCCTAGACTTGTTTGTTATCATGGGCTCTTCTAATACCGTGAATAATTAATATATTACAAGTTATTCAGAATTTTGATTTCAGATTTTTGATCATTTTAAGAATACTTTTCCCATCAACTGGTCAAAATGCACAACACCGCTGTATGCTGCGTGAAAGACGCGTGCGCACTCTGATGTAAACAAGCGCGGACGTGAAGCACATGGCGGAACATGTGAGAGACGCTCTGGATGAAAGCGCACTTTCACTCTCTGACAGCAGATGGCGCTAAACTGCAGAAATAATCATAATAATAATAATAATTAATTTAAATGCAGCTGTTACCCCGGAAACCCTGTAAACAAAGCAGCTGCACTACTTTCTGTTTCTGAATCCTGTTTAAATGATTTAAATAGCCATTCAGATTTGTGTATTTGCTATGATGTTCATCACAGTTAGACTTAATAGGCTATTTATTTTCAAACTTTTTTTACATTTTAATCTGGACTACAACATGCCCTAGATATTGTTTGAAAGTGTTTTGATTCTTTATTGTTCGGTCACACTTTACATTAGGGCTTCATTAGTTAACATTAGTTATGTCACTGATGTCAGATCACCGTAGTCACCTCTATTCAAGCAGCATGTGAACGATCACCTACTACTAGTTACAGTATGAAATTAGACTTGTGACGGTATTCGGTAATGCGATATATCACGGTAATGAATATGCACGATATTGTTATCGTGGGCACTTCTAAATACCGTGAATAATTATATATTACAAATTATTCCGAATTTTGAATGCATTTTAAGAATACTTTTCCCATCAACTGGTCAAAATGCACAACACCGCTGTATGCTGCGTGAAAGACGCGTGCGCACTCTGATGTAAACAAGCGTGGACGTGAAGCACATGGCGGAACATGTGAGAGACGCTCTGGATGAAAGCGCACTTTCACTCTCTGACAGCAGATGGCGCTAAACTGCAGAAATTATAATAATAATAATATAATAATTCATTTAAATGCAGCCTTTACCCCGGAAACCCTGTAAACAAAGCAGCTGCACTACTTTCTGTTTCTGAAAGGTGTTTAAATGATTTAAACAGCCATTCAGATTTGTGTATTTGCTATGATGTTCATCACAGCGCCAAATACTTAAATATTTAGACTTAATAGGCTATTTATTTTCAAACTTTTTTTTACATTTTAATCTGGACTACAACATGCCCTAGATATTGTTTGAAAGTGTTTTGATTCTTTATTGTTCGGTCACACTTTACATTAGGGCTTCATTAGTTAACATTAGTTAATTCATTAATTAACATAAACTGCCAATGAAAATTCTTCTGAACATTCATTAATCTTAGGTAATTACAATATTTAATAACACGTTGTTAAAATCTAAAGTTGCAACTGTGTTATTTAATGAGCTAACATGAACTAAGACTTGTATTTTTTAAACAGAGATTAATAACTTCTGTAGCAAATGTAGCTATTGCTCATTGTGAATGTTAATGCATTAACTAAGGTTAACTAATGAGGTCTTATTGTAAAGTGATACCTATTGGTCTTTATAGTTCTTTTGCACTTTAATCTGTGTAAAATTTTTTACTTTATACATTTTTCTGTATTGCTTTATTGCTAAATGTTCAGTTATTTTTGTTATAAGAAAAATGTTATACTGTATTATGACAGCACTTTTTAAAAAAACTAAATTTCAACATCGTGATAATACCGCATACCGTGATAAAAGCATTAGCAATTAATCGCAACATGAGAATTTGATACCGGCATATCCCTAATGCTGTCCAAACCAATTGCTTCAATTGACTCTTATGAATCCGTCGTTTAAAAATTACAAGAAGTACAGGTACAAAAGATACGATCGATCTTGTTGACGGGTTAGACGCATGCATAAAAGAGGGATTGGCTGACCGGCTGAGGTTAAAGTGGGTCACCCAGTTTTCAAATTAATCAACAATGGGTGCAATAAAGGCCAGAAGTTTTTTTTATTCTTTTTAAACACAGTTGCAGCTAAACCTGCTATTTTCAGTGACCCTGTAGCAAAACTCTGAATATGCTACCAAAATATGCATATTCTTATGGATAAATCTGACCTGGTTTTAAACCTTCTCAACCAAATTTTTTTTGTGTGACACACAATACATCCCACTTAGAAAGGTTACTCACTTGGGGTTGATCTTTTCACCCTTTTCCTGAAGGGTTTCCAAAACATCCTTCCCGTTCAGAACTAGGCGGACTTTTTCATTTTTGTCATCCATTTCCACCAACATGTACTCCACCTGCAAGATGTTTCAAACACTTTCTACAACACAGTCCGTCACGTTACTAACAAAGCCACAAGATATTACCCACAGGTAAAAAATAGTTTCTGTGAGCACGGTTTCTTGCACATTATGCGTGAGTGGATTTGAATTGCAAATGCATCGATGACAAAGCACAATATTATTTTTCTCCAAACATTCCTAACATACTCATTGTGGAAGTAAAACTGCAGTGAGACATTTCTAGACCGATGCCATTCCATTCTCTTGGCCTTTTAAATCCACCAACGCTGAATAAATGATTCACCTAAACCAACAACATTCCAGCAGGTTTGATCATAAATCCATTGACGACTTCCGGCCGAACAAAGGTAATGAAAGGAAAAGCCATTTGAAAAAGGAGGTTTAGGAATTGACAAGCCTGTTGATCCTACATGAACTGCAAGTTTGTACATGAAAACACTTTTAGGCGCCCTTGTTTGAAATGTTTAGTACACGGTTAAGAACAGTAAAAAAATTTTTTTTTAAAAAGAGCAAGAGCTCACTAAAAGATGACGACCCGCCCACCCATCCAATGGAAATGGGATTTTGTAATTGTCATAAAAGCGCACTGTGGGCAGATCTTTACATGCCTGGGCTGCATTATACTGTATATCAGTGGAAAGTTTGGACACACCCTCTCATACCTTATTACTGTGATTTTCCACATTTGAGAATAATAACCAACTCCTCAACAACACTGGGGGAAAAAAATGGTAGAACATGGAGTGAAATCAAATCAAAATATCTTAAATTTGAGCTTCAGCTGTGCAGTGTCTAGACTGCTTTCCCTTCACTATCGAAAGTTAACAGCCAGATCGAAACCGTGAAGTTTTAATTTGGTCAATAAAATCATGCATGCGCATGAATTGTATTTGCCTACAAAACTGAATAAGCATTAGCCTTCAGATCGCAAGGATTTTAAGAATCATGCATCCACAAGTGCCATTGCACAAAGCAGAAAACATGCATAACACAAAGCGAGCTGAACGGCGCACCTGCTCACAAGCAGCATCCACATTTGGTCCATTGCATCATTGCACGCTGCCTCTAAACACGCAACCACGTGTTTCTCCATCGCACGCAGTTATGCCGTGCATTTCTGCAGATGAGAGAGAGCCTCACCTCGTCTCCCCATTTCAGCACATCCTTCTGGCGCTCTTTGACCTTGTAGTAGATGTTGAGGAACTGCAGGATGCCGTGCTTTCTAACGTGGTCCGCATGTTTCTTGGTCTCTTCCCAGTTGAGCGGCGACCCTTGGGACAGTAAGCCCATAGCACAAACCTACGATCCCTCGCGTATTGTTATGGACTCGGACTCGGACTTCTGCGTCTCCTCCACCGCGCACCGCGATCTCCCTTCACTCGCAATACTCAACGACTATTTAACGCTCGCGAGCGCACACGCACGCACGCGAGGCCTTCTATGATTCGTTTTAAACGCGGATGTATTCACTTTTCTCGTCCTAGCGGTTCCGAGTCAAACACGGGCTACGGTCTCTCGCCACCACGACTGTAACGCAATAAAGCCGTGGCGAATTGCGAGCAGCTGATATTTGATCGCAGTGCGCGAGCTGTGTCAACCCCTTCCTCGCGCACGGACACTTTACGCGAACTGGGAGCACGTGACTGTGTCGGAGGCGGTGACGTCATGTAATGACTCCGCAGTCCTGTCCTGTTGTTGTGCTGGTGACGGCGTGACCAAGGTAACAGAGCTGCTGTGGAAGCCGATCGGTTTGAATGCGCTTTTGTAATCATGACAATGCAAAATATAGGCGGAATGGGTGTTTGTTATGAGGGCATAAGCGGTTATTTTTTATTAAACGTTTTTTTTTTCTTCTTATATGAAGGTCACATTCACATGTTGTCGTTGTTGATGCTTTTTTTTTAGCGAAGTTTGACAAAACACTGTATTCGTGTGAAAATACTATTTAATTACGTGTATTTTGGATATGCTATTTAGCAAGACATTTATGTTAGGGTTCGAAGCAACACCAAAAACAGCAAACAGAACGTTCCCTAATGGTTATTTTCATCTTTTAGCAGATGTTTTTGAGTGACCCATAAACTTTATATTGAAGATGTCAATAATGTGAATGGGATAAAGCAAATGGGGCTATTGCTATTAGGTCAGGAGTCACTTCTTTTATATTCACTTGTCATCGTCATAATTATTATGCATTTTGCATTGTCATACTGTCTGTTAGCTGCCACTCCAACGCCCATTATGTTTACTTAGTGAACTTGAAAGTCTAATGGTAAAGGGATAGTTCACCAAAAAATGAAAATTGTCACCATTTACTCACCCTTGAGTTGTTCCAAACCTGTATGGACTTCTTTCTTCTGCTGAACACAACAGAAGATATTCTGAAGATTATGGGTAACCAAACAGTTGATGGACGATGTACCCCATTGACTTCCATAGTATGGAGAAGAAGAAGAAAAAAACTATGGAAATCATTGGAGACCATCAACTGGTTGGTTACCTATATTCTTCAAAATACCTTCTTTTTTTGTTCAGAAGAAGAAAAACATTTACTTTATACTGGTTTGGAACAAGTGGAGGGCGAGTAAATGATGACAGAATTTTCATTATTAGGTGAACTATGCCTGAAGCTATTTCTGTGCCACTAGCTGCACTAAACTGAAATGCAAAAACAATGTATTTCATTGGTTGGACAAACAGGTATGAATGAAGGAAATCTCTCTCTCTCGCTCTCTCGCTCTCATTGTCATTGTTCAAAATAGGTTCCAAGAAAAATGTCAACAGCAACATTTCTTAAGAAGCTTTAATAAATATGCAGAGCTTTATTATTTGACAACATGTATTACAGTATGTACTGTATATTGTAAATACTATCCATTGATTTACCTTAAATAAGCAATACCTTATTAAAGTATTAAATGTGTCCAGTTGTCACTTTTTTTTCTATCATACAATGTTTTCTAACCAGAATATTACAAATCATGAACCATCAGGAAACAAAGCGGATTTTATACTTGTCCTCTTGACGGTTCAGGCCAAAACTTTTTTTTTTTCACAATTATTTATTCTCTCAGTTTACAAAATATGCCACCACTGTATATCCTTTTATGTCCTATTCAGTGTTCACATCATCACCCACGCCATCATAGTGTCTGTTTTTGTATTTTTCAAACAGGGTCATCATGACTGAAATGCTACAGGGCTGAGGATATGTGTCCTTCTCTCTGTGGCCTAATGGTTCCCTCTTGCCAGGAACCCTGCTTATAATTAACTTGCTTGATTTTCCAAGAGTCAGCAGCACTTTGTCGGTGTATTACATGATCAAATAAACTCCTACTCCTCATAGGTTGTAGGTGAAATGTTAAGACCTGGCTTTCTCAAGCAATCTATACAACCAATGCTCCATTGTTGATCAAAGGACAATGTCTAATATATCTGGACAGTTTGCAGTGTTGCAATCACCTCATTTTGCACATTAAGGGACTAATCAAATCATAACCGGAGAATTGGCCCCATTTGGAAAATAATTTCCCAATGAAAATTATAACTCTTGATTTTACAAATATGTGTTGTTTTTTATGCATTTCCTATTTCCCATAAACCTTATAAACAATAAATCTACCTCCAAGACAAATCTCTCTGAATTTTCCTGTTCCCACAAAACCTACGAACCATCTTCGAAATGCATCCATCTTTAGTTGTTTTCAAATCGCTTCAGTTTTAAACATAGTGGCTTATATAAATAATTGTTAATTTGTATGCATTATTATGTTGTGACTTGACATCCAACATGTCCGAGATTGCCACGAACTGACAATTAATCTTGGCATCTGTGAGTAAAAATTATATTATAAAGCGGGTCCTGTGAGCAAGGGGGCGACGTAGCTCCACTGGCCGGAGTGAGGGTTGTAACATTCAACTGGCAAGACGTCGACCCTCTCGCCACGGCCGCCCAATTGGCTGCCACCGAGAACATAGGCACGGTCTCCAACGCTCACTGAACAGTGCCATCCTCTCGGGGTGCTCAGGCTGTTCTTATCCTGCCAGCTATCGGTGGATGGGTCGTAAGAACATACAGAGCGAGAGTAGGCGTTGTTAATGTAACCACCGCTCACCAAGATCTTGCCATCAATAACTGTGCTAGCGTGGCAACATCTAGGGACTTCCATTGCTGCTTTCATTTGCCATTGGTTAGAGGATGGAACGTAGCACTCGACAGATGCCTGGCAGCCGTCAGAATTACGCCCCCCTACAGCAAACAGGAGACCGTTGAAGGTGTTGAGGCTGAAATGAGTGCGCTTTTGAATCATGTTTGCCAGGTGGATCCACGTGTTGAATCGGGGGTCATATCTAATGAGGGAAACACTCGTGAGTGATGCATCACTTCGAAAAAATACATGCCAATAGACTTTAGACACTTAAAGGGATAGTTCACCCAAAAAAATGAAAATTCTGTCATTAATTACTCACCCTCATGTCGTTCCAAACCCGGGTCCTTTCGTTCATCTTCGGAACACAAATTAAGATATTTTTGATGAAATCCGAGAGCTCTCTCACACTCCATAGAGAGCAACACAACTGCAATGTTCCCAGGTCCAGAAGGTAGTAAGGACATCACTAAAATAGTCCATGTGACATCAGTGGTTCAACCGCAGTTTTACGAAGGTATGAGAATACTTTTTGTGCGCAAAGAAAACAAAAATAACGACTTTATTCAACAATTCTTCTCCTCCAAATCACGCCTTCTGCCACTATCGAGAGTACCTCTGCACGTAAAAAAAAAAAAGAGGAAAGCACGGCATGCGTCATGGTACTCACAATAATGGCGGAAGGCATGATTTGGAGGGGAAGAATTGATGAATAAAGTCGTTATTTTTGTTTTCTTTGCACACAAAAAGTATTCTCGTAACTTCGTAAAATTGCGGTTGAACCACTGATGTCCTTACTACGTTTCTGGGTCTGGGAACATTTCAATTGCTTTGAGAGAGCTCTCAGATTTCATCAAAAATATCTTAAAGGGGTCATATGATGCTATTTCAAATTTTCCTTTGTCTTTGGAGTGTTACAAGCTGTTCATGCATATATAAGATTCGTAAAGTTGCAAAGACTAAAGTCTCAAACCCAAAGAAATATTCTTTGTAAAAGTTAAGACTCGTCCACGCCCTCCTAAAACGCCTCATTCAAACACGCTCCCACATATCTACGTCACTGTGTTGGACGATTTGCATAACACTGCCCAAATGTTTACCCAAAGAAAGAAGACGTAACTTTTATTCTTGCTGTAGTATTGTTGCCGCCGCCGCCATGTCATGGAGATGCTGTGTGTTTCCAAATATGGTGAGGGGCGTAACATTTTCGTCACATGCTTGAGGTATTCGGCCAATCACAACGCACTGGATAGCTGGCCAATCAGAGCACACCTCGCTTTTCAGAACGATGAGCTTTGTAAAAATCAACGAGTTTCAGAAAGGCGGGGCAGAGAGGAGCAACAATAATGTACGGTATGTGGAAAGTAATGTGTTTTTTAACCTTAAACCACGTAAACACATTGCATTACACCAAATACACAAAAGCATCGTCATATGACCCCTTTAATTTTAATGTTACGGAAATGAACAAAGGTCTTACAGGTTTGGAACCACATTAGGGTAAGTAATTAATGACAGAATTTTCATTTATGGGTGAACTATCCCTTTAAGTGATCTCTCATCTCTTACCTGATGAAATTGCTGACGGCATGTTTTGCTTGGTTCCTAGCATCATTCTGGTCTTCACCACCAGCCACGTAAAGGAAGCCGTCCAAAACAGCAACACACTGATTGAAGCTCTTCGCGGGCAACTCAGTCAGCTTGTTCCAGACACTGTCATCATCTCTGTAGAGAATGTCCTTGCTGAGAGATTTTTCGGTTAGGGCAGGCCGGCCTCCCACCGTGAGCAGCACTCGTTGGCCTCCACGGACCTTGGTTCTTCTGGATTGCAGGATGTTCTGCTGGAATGGCAGCAGGTGGTAATTCATGGCATCGACCAACAGACGGTGGCACTCAGAATCTTGCATCATCCTGGGAACGATCTGCACGTGACTAACAAGATCCTGGGGTGAGATGGTTCCAAAGCGGATGCTGGACAACAGATCAGGAGCATACTTCAGCCTCTTCTCATCGAAGTCTAACCACTTCATTGCGATCTGGAAAGCTGTGAGCTCAGAGGGCAACTGGAGCGAGTCGTCCGTGAGAAATTCGCTGATCTGCTCGTAGGTGAGCTTTAGGAACTGCTCCATTTCGGAGAACTCGATGAAGTTCTCCCGCATGAACTTCTGCGCAGCCTCTTTCGTCTCTTTCAGACTGTACGTGTCGGCGATGTTGACAACATACATGCAGTTCTCCACGCTGATCTCCCGCATCAAGAACTCGCTGCACATCTTCACCAGAGAATGGATCTGCAACAGCATGGCTGCTGATATCGTGCTACCAATGGTGTACAAAGACAGGGTCAGTTTTCCAGAATAGGTGTATGTGATGACTGTAGCCAGACCGACTGGGGACAAATCACTGAGCTCAATCTTCTTGAGGGCTGGATCCTTCCTGAGCATGTTTTG